AAACCATCCAAGGGCACCCGCCCCAAGACGCACCATAACATCCAACATGCACGAATAACGCTAGGGTACCATCCCCGAACCGACCTCGATTCTAGACCTCGGTCCGACTGTAACAGGGAGGGGCGTCCAGCGACACAGGATGGCCGTGTGGAACCCCGAACATCTGAAGAGATGCCTCCTGGGGCCCAAGGGCAAGACGAGATGATTCGCTGGAGGGCTGGGGACGGGGTAGGCGGAGAAGGCGACCCTCCAGGAGGCAGCTGCGACTACGATCGCGTCTTGCCTCACCTTCTCTTCCTTCTCCTCCTCCTGCCTCCTCCTCCTCCTCCTCCTCCTCCTCCTCCTCCTCCTCCCTCCTCCTCTCGGGCGTTGGCAGAACTGGGTTTAGTGGAACCTTGTTTAATGATGTGTACTGGGGGGGCCCCCCCCCGCCCCGTTCCAGTAACCGGAACTGCCGTCATCCGGAAAACACCATTTGCGGCAGACCTGGTTTAGTGATTCTGGCCGATTCAAGGGCTCCGGGGCCCTACCACTAACCGGGTCCCCTTACCTGCGGTCCTGCCTATACCCGATCCTGCTCCCTCCCTCCTCCTCTTCCTCCTCCTCCTCCTCCTCCTCCTCCTCCTCCTCCTCCTCCTCCTCCTCCTCCTCCTCCTCCTCCTCCTCCTCCTCCTCCTGCTCCCCTCCTCCTGCTCCTCCGCCTCCTCCTCCTCCTCCTTTTTCCTCCTCCTCCTCCTCCTCCTCCTCCTCCTCCTCCTCCTCCTCCTCCTCCTCCGCTTCTCCTCCTCCTCCTCCTCCTCCTCCTCCTCCTCTCCTCCTCCTCCTCCTCCTCCTCCTCCTCCTCCTCCTCCTCCTCCTCCTCCTCCTCCCCCCTCCTCATCATGCGGAATCGGAGGAGGGAGGAGGATGAGGAGGAGGCGGAGGAGGAAAGGGTGGCAGAGGAGGAGGAGGCGAAGGAGGAGGAGGGGGGAGGAAGAGGTTCTAAGAACAGTCCTGTTCACAGCCGAAAGAAAACGGAAGGGGCCAAAACAAAACCGTCAGCGGTTAAGCACCCCCCGCGCCTCAATCTACGGCAAAGTCACGCCGCGGTCGTGTCGCGTTTGCTCCTGACACCGCGTCGAACGCTACGCCTTGCACGATCGCCGACCTCCGACAACGAAAATCGCTGGACCGTGGCCGATTCCACATTCCGCGCAAGTGGCGCTGGCATGGAGGACCCGGGCCCTGCAGTCAGGGGGTTTTCCCAAAGGACAACGTACTCACCCCGAGTAATGCACGTTTTGAGCCAACCTGGGGCCTGGGCCGGGCAGGGCCCTGGGCGCCCGACAACAAACCCCACGCTGGACCAGGACCCCATGGCGAGCAACTGGCGGCGCGCCGCCTATGCTGAGGATGAGTTACCATGATCCGCGCCCTCACTTTGAGATGCGACGACGTGAGAGAAATTGCAACATCCCGAAAAGCTGCGATGTAAAAACCCTGGGGGCCATACACAAATTTTCGAACAACATCGATCGGGCCGAGCCACTGGGCCCGCAAGCGGGCGAAAACGCCCTGCTCGACAAACTGAAGCTCCAAGATCTCAAGGAACATCCCCCTGGCGCTTTAGCCAGCTAAACGGCTAGACGCCGGTGCGATGGGCGCCGAACTGGGCTTGCTGGGCCGGCAAGCTCAGAAATTGGCTCGGCCATGGCTTAAGTGGCCAATGGCTGGGGGGGGGGCGCTTAGCTAAGGGTCCAAGGCAGGGGGCTGGCCAGTCACTGCAGCGGCGGAAGCCGTGGCGGCCAGGAAAAGAGAACGAACTTTCGATATATATATATATATAGAGATAACAAAAAAAGAGAGAGACAGAGAGAGAGAAAGAGAGATCGGGCCAATTGAGACACGCGCGCCCGCCGGCCGCCGGGCAAGCGCGGCGCGCCCGCCGCTCCCAGACCAGAGCGCTTCGGCACGGCGCAAGCCTCGCGCGCGTCATGCGCGGAGGCGGCGGGGGAAGGCAGGATGGGGGAGGGGCGAGGGGGCCCCGCCCAGCAGGAGCAGATGGCGTACGGAGTCGCTGCCTCGCAGCCGTCCAAGGAGATCTCACCTGAAGGGTAAGGCGAAGCCTGTGCCCGTTTTTGGCATGACACTACCTCGCTGGCAGTGGCGGCGCCCATCCAGGAACATTACAGGATCCGCAGTGGTGGGGGGCCGCAGCGGGCGCTTGCCGGGCGGCGCGCCGGCCTCGATGGAAGTTTAGCTGCGGGCGCCCCTGGCGAGGTGGCAGGTGGTCCGAGGTGGGCTGGGCGCGCCCGAATGCTCGCGCGAGCTGCGCCGATTCGGCGGCGTCGGCAGGAGGGGCCCTGCGGGGGGAAGGGCGCTGCCTGAGGCAGACCCTCCCCCCGGCGAGGGGCGGCCCCGTGCGGCCCTTTTCTGCCGCCGCTGACCGCCGCAAGGCTGGGGCTCATCAGCAGGGCGCCGCAGTCGAGAAAAGGCTGAGCCGTCTCCGACGCGCCGCTGGTGAAACGCTGAGCGGGTCTCTGCGGGCGCTGGCGGGGCCTCCGCGGGCGACGCCGGGGTCGTCGAGGAGCGAGGCGCGCCCCCGGCCACTCGCGGCAGCGGCGGCGGGGCTGGGCGCCCGGGACCCAGAGCCCTCGCGGGGGGGCTGCGTCGAGGCCTCTTCGCGGGGGGGGGGGCCTGGCGGAAGTGGGCCGCGCCAGAGGCTGGTCGCTCCCGCCGCGAGGCGTCGCCCCGCGCGGCCCCTCGCCGCTCGGGCCGCCGGGCGCGCGGCGATGGTGATCCGAATGGAAGTCCGAAGGCGCGCCGAGGACGACGAGGTTGCGGCCCCCCTCGGGCCCCTGGACCGGGGCCGCCTGCGGTGGGGGGCGGCGTCGGCCGTCGGCAGCGCCGCGCGCGCGTCCGAGCTGGCGAAGGGGCAGCGCGGTGGAGGCTGCGCCCCGGCAGCCGCGGCGCTGACCTGCAGAAGTGTTCGACAGGCCGCCGCCGTCTGCTCGGCGGCGCGCAGGGGGCTGGTCCGCGAGCCAGTGTTAGCGGAGCTCTCACTGCCGCCGAGGTGACCCCCGTCGGAACGGCATTTGGGCCGCGAGATGCGCGGCCCCGGGCGGCTGCTCAGAATCGCGCCGCTCGCCGCTGCGCTGCCGCTGCTGCCGGTCGCGAGGCCGGGGCTTGTCAGCGGGGCGCTGCGGTGGGGAGATCGAAGGCCGAGCCGTCTCGGACGCGCCGTGGGCGGAGCGCTGTTGTTTCACCCAGATGACGCCACGGATATTGCACCACATAGATTGCACCGCATATGGTGTCCCGATTGCGCTCCGATGGGTGCCTGGATGGTGCCCTGGCGGCAATGCGAAGCGGAGTTTCTGGGGGCGCTGTCGGGGCCTCCCAGAGCGCCGTCGGGGTCGTCGAGCGCGGCGCGCGCGCGACCGCTCGCAGCGGGCCATGCTTCCGGGGCAGCGCGGCGCGCTGAGCGATGAGCCGCGGGGGCAGGAGCATCGCCATCGGGGCAAGCGACGCGGTTGTCCTCGCGGTGGCGGGGAGCTCTCGCCGAGGAATTGCGCCTCGGTGCTCGCGGAAGGCGCGGCCGGCGCCGACGGTCGTCGGGGCTCGGTGGCAATGGCGGCGGTCGGGGGCTCGTCGTTTGCTGGGCGCCGGGCAAGGTCGGCCCGAGGGCGCTTCGAAGCGCCCGCGCGGGGGGAGCGGCCCTGGCGGGAGAGGCGCGTGCCGGAGGCAGGCCGCTCTCGCCGCGAGGGGTCGCCTGATGCGGCCCGTCGTCATGCGACCCGCTGGGCGCAGGCGTCGGCGCCGCGCCGCCGTCGCCAGCGGCGACGGCGGGGCGGGGGCCGCGGCCAATTCGGCCTGGCGCCAGCTGGCGGCAAGGCCCCAAGCAAAGGCAGCGGCTTCAGGGCGTCCAGGCCCAGGCCCAGGCCCGTCAGGACGTCTCTCCCAAGATCGGCGCCTCGCGGAGCCGCATCAGCCGCCGCGGCCGCCGCGTCGCTCCTGACGGGGGCGGCGGGGGCGCGCGGGAGCTGAGGCGCGCGCGGGGCGCTTGTGGCAGCGTGCGCGGCAGGGCCGAGGTCGCCCGCGCCCGCTGCCGGCCGCGCGGCGCGCGGGGCTGAGCTGTGCCACCCCGCGCTGGCGTCGGCAACGTCCGCCGCCGTGGCGGGGCCCGCGGGGTCGCGCGACGGCTGGGGCCTGAGCGGGGGGCCATGGGCCGCGCGTGGGGGCGAGCTGGGCTCGCGCGCGACGGCTGCCAGTGGCCCCTCTCCCGGGCGGGCGGAAATTGCACGAGGGGCCGAGGGCTGCGCGGTCCTCGGCGCCAATGGAGGCGGCGTCGGTCAGTCGGCAACGCCAGTCGCAGCGGGGCCCGCGTCGCAGGGTCTGGGGGCCGGGCGCGGCGCGGCCGTCAACGGCCCGTCTCCCGGCGAGGTGTCGGCCCCAGAAGGCGCTGGACTTGGCGCCCGTCGCGGCGACGTCGGCGCAAACCGCGCGCAGCCCGCGACGGCGCCGGGGCGCGCCCGCTCGGAAGTTTCGCGCCCGCAGGGAAGGATTGTGTGTGAGAGAGAGAAAGAGAGAGAGAGAGAGAGAGAGAGAGAGAGAGAGAGAGAGAAAAAGAGAGAGAGAGAGAGAGACAAAATTAGCCTGGCGAAGGACCCAACCATCTGCAGTTGTGAGTACCGTCTTTGTGAGCAGCGCATTCGGTAGGGTTCCCTATAGGGCCACGAAACGCTGCCCTGGGCGGGGGAACCGCATGCGAACACCCCCACTGGGGCCTTCGGTGGAGCTCCCCATGGGGCCACGAAGCGCTGCCCTGGGTGGGGGAGAGCATGCGGGCACCCCCACTAGGGCCTTCGGTGGAGCTCCCTATGGGGCCACGAAGCGCTGCCGTGGGTGGGGGAACCGCATGCGCCCCCGCCCAATGGGACCTTCGGTGGAGCTCCCCATGGGGCCACGAAGCGCTGCCCTGGGTGGGGGAACCGCATGCGCCCCCTCCCCCACTGGGACCTTCGGTGAAGCTCCCCATGGGGCCACGAAGCGCTGCCTTGGGTGAGGGAACCGCATGCGCCCACCCCCACTGGGGCCTTCGGTGGGGCTCCCTATGGGGCCACGAAGCGCTGCCCTGGGTGGGGGAACCGCATGCGCCCACCCCCACTGGGGCCTTCGGTGGAGCTCCCTATGGGGCCACGAAACGCTGCCCTGGGTGGGGGAACGGCATGCGGGCTGTGCCACTGGTACCTTCGGTGGAGCTCCCTATGGGACTATGAAACGCTGCCCTGGGTGGGGGAACCGCATGCGGGCTGTGCCACTGTGACCTTCGGTGGACCCTATGGGGCCACGAAGCGCTGCCCTGGGTGGGGGAACCGCATGCGGGCTGTGCCACTGGGACCTTCGGTGGAGCTCCCTATGGGGCCACGAAACGCTGCCCTGGGTGGGGGAACCGCATGCGGGCTGACTGGGACCTTCGGTGGAGCTCCCTATGTGGCTACGAAGCGCTGCCCTGGGCGGGGGAACCGCATGCGGGCTGTGCCACTGGGACCTTCGGTGGAGCTCCTTATGGGGCTACGGAACGCTGCCCTGGGTGGGGGAACCGCATGAGGGCTGTGCCACTGGGACCTCCGGTGGGGCTCCCTATGGGGCTTCGAAACGTGTGAAGGGTGTGCCGAGAGCAGAGGCAAGGAGGGGGGGAGGGAGGAGGGCGAGGAGGGGGAGGAGGAGGAGAGGAGGTGGGACGCGGGGCGCTGTCTCTTCAAAACGAGGACCCAACACCACAGGATGGTTGGGGAACATATGAGGATAATACATAATTATACATATATACACACATATATATATATATATATATATATGTATGTTGGCTTTTTTTTAAACCTCAGCGAACAGCTACCCAGCGATGCAACAACCGGCGGGCGGGCGAGGCCCGCCCGAGGCCGCTCTCGGCGATAAAACTGCCACTCTGGCGCAGGGGGCCAGGGCCCAGCCATTGCAAAGCCAAGACCACCATAGCCAGGAAACAAAGTTCACGCGGGGATCCCCCGTGCAACAGGACCACTGGGCAATTGTCGGCCATGCGAGACAGCGCCCACACATGGGGGTCCAGAGGGTAGCAGCGGGGAGAACAGGACAGGGATGACAGGACGGCCTCCCCCGTGCCCTGACGCACGCAGCAAAAATGGCGCCCCCCCTGCGCAGCGGTCACCGCGAGGGCATAATTACCTCTAGCGCCCCACGGCCGCGCAGCAAGGGAACGCGGACAGCGCGCAAAAATGAAAAAAAGACGGCCAGCGCCGCAAGCGTGGCGGAAACCCTCGGCCCGAGTTGCAGGGCTGGCTGCGCGACGCCAGCACCGCCGAACAGGACGGCGCCAAAATCCCACATCGAACCCGCCACGAGAGCCCAGCTATCGCAGACAAGAAGAAAATAGAGCGGCCCCCTGAGCAGCGGTCACCGCAGGGGGAGACGTACCTCCAGCGCCCCACGGCCGGGCAAGCAGGGAGATGCGGGCCCGCGCGGCAATGACAAGGGCGGCCGCAAGGGGCCCCGGATCGAACCCGCGGCGCGCGCCTAACCCGCCCATCCAGTGCCCCGCGGCCGCGCGACAGGAGATGTGGACACGCGCGCGCGGCAGTGAAAAGGTCGGCCAGTTTCGCCAGCCTGGCGGAACCCCGCGGCCCGAGTTCCAGGGCTGGCTGCGCGTCGCGAGCACCGCCAAACAGGACGACGCGGAAACCCCAGATCGACCCCGCCGCGCAGGCCCAGCGACCGCAGAACATGCAACGCAAACAAAGCACCCGATGGGGCGAACAACAACAAATAAAAGGTGGAGCTGGCAATGGCGGCCCTAGTCAGATTCTGAAGAATCCCACCCCTGCTCCAGCCCCCCAACGCCACCGTCGGACAAGTCTGAAGACAGCGAATGCGAGGACTGGCCGTCCAGGCCATGCCAGGAAGACCCGCGGGTGCCCAGCTGTCGGTCTTCATCGC